TCAATTGTCCTGCTATCTCCCTCATAATCTACTGCTCCTGCTTTTCATTGTTTACCTTCTTAATGAGGGAGGCGGGGAAGGCTGGGGCTTGACTGACAGCGACAAGCCCTCACGGTCTGGCTGGAGAGCCGGAGGCTGCGGGCGGCCCCGGGGGGCTGCGCCGGGCCGGGCTCCGGCCGGAGGAATCCCTTTGGGAATAGCGAGGCTGCCCGCCCGCCGCCGCCTGCCAGCGCCGGGGCTGGAGGGGCCCCGCGATATTCTGTAGCAAGTGTATTTTTACTTCAAAGTGGGAAATGCTAATTAAGCGATACCTGCCTTTAAAGTTAGTGCGCAGCATATGGCGCGCTGTGTGAGATTCCTCCGGCCGCTGAGAGCGGGCGAGGAGCGCGCAGAGAGGAGCCGGGCTGCGGGAGCGGGCATTCCTCCGGGAGGGCAAAGCCGGCCGTGCCCGCCAGCAGGCACAGACGTGGGGGAAAACAAAACAAATTTTACACTAAAAAAAGAAAGGAAAGGAAAGAAACCCCCACCCAAACGACCCCAAAATCTCTGCTGCGCTCCCCCAAGCCAAGGGGGGCGAAACGCTGCCGGGCTGTGCTTGTCTCCGAGGTAGCTTCGCCGGGGAGAGGCCGGGCCGGGCTGTGCCAGGCTGGGTTGGGCTGTACCGGGCCGGGCCGGGCTGTGTCAGGCTGGATTGGGCCGGACCGGACTGTGCCAGGCTGGGTTGGACTGCACCGGGCCAGGCTGTGCCAGGCTGCGTTGGGCCGGGCTGTACCGGGCTGTACCGAGCTGTACCGGGCTGTACCGGGCTGTACCGGGCCGCAGCGGGCGCGGGTTCCGGCCGGGCTGGCTGTGCCGGGCGCTGGCGGCCGCCGCTCTCACCGCCGCTCTTGTTGTGCTTCTCCCGCAGACTGGCAGAAGACCGAGGCTCAGAAGAGGCGAGAGCAGCTCTTGCTGGACGAACTCGTTATTCTCGTTAACAAACGGGACGCGCTGGTCAGGGACCTGGACGCCCAGGAGAAGCAGTGAGTCGGGCAGAGGGGGGGTCCCCGCCGAGGCGCCACGGTCCCCGCGGAAAGTTTGGTTCAAGTCCGCGGGCGCCGTGGCCGTGGGGAACTCGGCGCGGCCGCGGAGGCGAGCGGGGCCGGCGCGCATCCCGCACAGCCCCTCACTCACCGCGCTTCCCGCCGCCTCTTTCCGCAGGGCCGAGGAAGAGGACGAGCATTTGGAGAGGACCCTCGAGCAAAACAAAGGCAAGATGGCCAAGAAGGAAGAGAAATGCGTTCTCCAGTGAGCGGCCTTCCCGTGGCGGCAGCGAAATCGCAGCGCGACTTTCTTATGTTCTTAAAATGCCGACATGAGACTGGGAAAAAAAAAAAAAAAAAGAAAGAAAAAAAGAGAAAAAGATGTTTTGAAAAAAAAATTAAACTTTTTTCCATTTTCTTAGGCCAGATCTAGGCTGCGCCGGGCCCCACTCCGTTGTTTTTTGTTTTCCATTCAAGCGAACTCGCGTTGTCCCATGATTTCCGTGTGGGCTCAGCTCTCCTGCCGAAAGCGTTGGAAATGGAATCGCCGAGACCCCTGGCGTGCGGGCGATGCCGGAGATGGGCGGAAGGAGGAGAAGAAATAGTCTGTCCTGGTTTCTGTAGCTGGAGGAGGGCTGAGTTTTGAAATAAAAATGTTTTTGTCGTAATAGGATTAGAGAGGGGGATATAGGAAAAAAAAAAAAATCATTGGGAACGGTTTCATCTAGTCCTGCCATATGTAATACTTAATAAGCTACCTACATTTTATAGTTGGGTCAGATCCACCCCAGTTATTATTAAAAATGTGCTGTATTTACCAGTGGTTTATTACATCAGTTTTACATTTCCCCGGGAGTAGAGCCGAGCTGCTCTGGTTTACTCGGGGGGCTTCTCCCCCAGAGCTGGCACAAAACCCTGGGAGCGGCTGCGAGCGGAGTGGGGCAGCCCGGGACAGAGAGCGGCCCGGCCCGGGACAGCGCGACTCTTCCCACCCGCGTTCCCCCACGGGCCGGACCGGACCGCGCCGCCCGCTCCGCGTTATTTATTGCGCCCGGCCGCGTTCCCCACCGCACCCCGCCCCGTCCGTGTGCCCCCAAGCGTGTCCTGCGCTCGCATCGTCCCTTCGTGGAGCTCGTCTCGTTTATTTATTACAACACCGAGTCATATATAAAATTTTCAATAAAACCCGAATCTTTCTTACCGTAACTGCCGCTTTCCTCTTTACCTGGGAAACTCCCTTCACCCCTCCCGCCTTCAGAGGGCCGGGGAGGGGGCTCGGGGGGCGGGAAGGGACCGATCCCGGCGCGGGGGGCAGCGGGGCTCCGCGTCCCGGGCCGCCCCGCTCGCCGCCGCTTCGCCAACGCAACGAAACCCACCGGGCGGAAAAGTTTTTCGTTTGATTTTAATAAAACGCAACTCGGGGAGGGGGAGGTAAAACTTTTCCCCGCGGGGCCGATGCCGCCCGCCAGCGGCGTGGGGGATGCGCGCAAGGAACGCGGCCGCGGAGCGCGGAGCGGGCGGGAGGAGCCCGAACCCTGCGGGGTCGCGGCTGCCGCTCCGGGAGGGATCGCGACAGCGCCCGCGGCTCCTGGTGCTGCCCGCGGCCCGCTCCGCGCTGCGCCCTGCCGCTCTCGCCAAAAAAAGTCCCCCGTGGAGCAGGGAAGCGCCCGGTTTTGTGCGAGCGGCCGCCGGTGCCGCAGGATGCACCGGCCTGGGAAACCGGAGGCTGCCCCGGGGCGCGCAGGTGGATTTGGCCCTCCTGCTAAGTTTGGGAAGATGCGCGGAACACCCCGGCGCCGAGGGGGCTGGGGCAGCGGGCTCCGCCGTGCTCTTCTGCCCTCCCGTAAAAACACAGGAGCTGGGAACGGCAGGAAACACACTCCGAGGGCTCCGCGGCTGCGGAGGGGAGAGGCAGCAAAGCCCGCGGCGCTGCCTGCCCGGCCGGGCACCAGGAGCTGCTGAGCCCCGAAGCGCGGGGCTGCCCTTGGGGCGAGGGGGGCCGCGGACGGGCATCCTCTCCTCCTGGGGGTGCCGGTGTTTGCCTAGCGTTTAAAGCGAAAAAAGTAACTCAGCCTTTGGGCTGAGGGAAAAGTTAAGTGTGTGTTCCCCGTCCTTCGCCCCCAGCCCGGCAAGCCGGCCGCAGGAGGCCCCCGCCCCGCAGCCGGACAGAACTGCCCCTGCCCTTCTCCGGGGCCGGGGTCGCGCAGCCCGGTCCCCCCTGACCACCCGCAGCTCCCGCCCTGCCGCCGACCTTACCTGGGCACAGCGGGGAGGGCGCCGGCTCCGTTCGGCGGAGGGAATGGGGGATCGGAGTGGCCGGGACCGTCACCTCGGGGGGGTGGCGAGCCCCGCGCCCGCCCTGCCCGCAGCCCCCGGCCGAGCCTGCGGGGAGGCGTCCGCAATTGGGGATTGGGTAACCGCGGGAGTTGCGGGAGGCTTAGGGGGGGCATGGATACTCCCTGGTGTGGGGGGGGGGGGG